GGGCGGGACGAGGTGCTGCCTCCCCAGGCTGCTGTGGGTGCTCTGACACTGCGGCCAGTCACAAGCAGCCCTGTCCAGGCTCCAAGGGAGCACCCTCAATGTGGGCAGCACCTGCCCTTCCCTCTCTGCCCATTGGACAGTACCCATTGTGGGGGAGTCTTCAGGGGATAAAAAGCAGATTTAAGAGGCATAACCCTTGTGTGTTCGTGCTCGGCTCCTCAGAAGAGCTAGAGTAGTACTCCCAGTGAGAGTGGGGCCCAGCTCCCCAGCCTGTCAGATCCCTAGGGAAACAACCCCTGGAGCTAGGAAGCTGCCATAAGGTCCTTCCCATGAGGCCGACCCCAGGAGCCTTGGCCTCACCACGCTGACCTCCTGGGATCTGTGCCTCAGGCAGGCCCACTGGTGTCAGTCGCAGTTTCAAATACCCTGTCCCCATGCTGCTGTTCCCAGTGCTTCATCCCCTGCCCCACCTGCCAGAGGGCAGGGAACCCGAGCAGATGAGGAGGAAGCTGACCCTGTCCCAGCCAAGATGGAGCTGGAGGTAGGCAAGCACAGATCCCACCTCCAGCAGTGTGCCCACCTCTGCCCCTGATGGTCTCCACCCACAGCCTGTGCTCCCCTCCCTAGGGGCCTGGTGCCCTGGACGGGCTGGTGCTGAGGAGGAAGAGTGTGGGCCGCCCTCGTCCAATGGTCAAGCGGTAGCAGGGCACACGCATGCTCAGAGACAAACTGCACACCCCCACGTCCAGTTCATGTGGACTAGAAGCCTCCTGGCAGCCTGTGCAGAATGGCCAGGCTGCGACCCACCCAAATGTCCCCTCCAGGGGCTGGGCAGAGGGGTGTGTTCATACCACAGAGGTCACCTGGCCCAAGTGGACCAGCTGCTGCCAGATGGCAGATGCGCCCAATTTCCATTTGGAACAAGGTCAGAATGGGCAAACCTGGCCCCGCTGCCAAAGGAAGCAGGCCCGTGTCAACAATGTCGAAGCACACTGCAGGCCCGCAGGGACCAGTGGGCACTGCGGTCACCCTGGGGGAAGAGCAGAGACAAGGTCTTCTGGGAAGTGGACAATGTCCTAGCTCTTGACTGGAGAGCATGTGCTTCGTGAAAGGCAGAGTTACAGAGAGAGATCCACCAGTCCCCATCCACTGGTTCACTTCCCAAATGGCTGCAACGGCAATCCAAGCCAGGAGCTCCTTCCAACCCCCACATGGGAGCTGAGGCCCAGTCCATAAGCAGGGATCTGGATCCAGCTGGAGCAGTGTCCATGTGGGATGTGGGCGCCAGACACCAGCCCGCTGTTACTCTCTAGTACTCAGGTTTCATTCATAGCACAATTTTTAGTGACAAAGTTTTAATGTACTTTTACTATCACAAAATAACATCTTTTAATGAAACTAAATGATTTACTGACTTCCAAGTAATCTACTTAGAAAGTAGGCTTGTGCTTGCCCTTGGCTGGACAGTGGACCTTTCTGGAGTGGCGGCTATGTGACCAGCAACACGGAAACAGCCTGCATCGGGCAGCAGGTGGACTGTTCCCTGGGTGTGCCCCTCCGCTGAGTCCCAGGCTGGAAACCCGGCTGTGCCCCTGCCACACCCCGCCCCACGCAAGGCTGGCAGCTGGGCCTCCTGAAGGTGACGGGATCAGAGGAGGTTTGGACGCGGTGCAGTCATCCATGTGTGTTCCCAGGAAACACGCCGGGGCCCTGGGCCTTTCCCTCTGGCTCCCTCCCACACTCCCTGGCCCTCACCAGGCAGCCCAACCACACCCCACCATGCCCTCCGGCCCCCAACCTCCACAAATACATGCCTTGTTTTAAATGAATTGCTGGGTGAGTGTGTCCCACCATGGTAGTGACAGAACACTCAGCCCTGTCAAGCACTCAGGTCGCACCTGAGCCCCGACAAGAAGCGGCTGTGGCAGGACACCTAGAACCCCCATCCGGGATACTTCCCTTTGACACCCAGAAGGGCAAAGAGGCCCCCAGGAGGAGAGGGACCCCGAAATGGCAAGGAAGTAGGCCACGCAACACTGTACTTGCTGTATGACCAGCAGCCGCCACTGGGTGGGCAGTGGAGAGCTGGAGGGGACAGCTCACAGGCACAAACTGTGACAGACTGCGGACAGAGAGGTCTCCTCTTAACTGGGCAGTTCCAGCCCCCAGGGAAGGCAAGGCTGCCCCTGAGAAAGGCGGAAGGGCAGCAGTGCCCAGGACTGGTGGCCTCAGCTGCTGCCTGTTGGACCCTGGAGCCCTGCCTGGCCTAGAGGGCACAGGCTCCCATGGCTCTGTGGCAGAATGAGACCACAAGGACAGGAGTGCCCAGTGGGGGATAAAGTGGTGGCCCAGGGTCCCAGGGGAACAGAGCTGGGCTCCAGTGCAGCGTGGTAAAAGCCTGCCAGGTGGCCTGGGCCAGGCTTGATTACCCCACCAGAAGAGGCCCCTCACAGCAGGACAGCCTGTGCCCACGGGTCTCCAGGGCCTACCATGAGTGTCACAGGAAGGACACACTCTTGCCAAGGACCTGGGCAGCAGGGATGCCTAGGGTGCCGCTCTGAGGCCTTGGGGAGTCAGACATGCAAGTTCCAGAAGCCAGCATGTGCAATGCAGAGGTCAGGAACAGGGCAGGTGGGAGCACACCTAGGCTTCCACCTGCCAGCAGGTGAGGGCCACACCCTGGCGGGGCCGGGCTTCCAGACAAAGCTGCTATGAATGGAAGGCTTTGTCTGTCCAGAGCTGGGGCAGTGCCACAGACACCACCTGCCCACGTGAGCTCCACACCTGTCAAGCTGCAGGCCCCTGTGGCCCTGGGACACAGCCAGTCCCTGCCCAGGCCACCTTGGGATCACTCCCTGGCAGGGAGCTCACTTCCCTCCAGGTCACTTTGTGACAAAAACAGAAAGGGGTGGCAGGTGGTTCACAATCATAAAGCAAGTCCCAGCAATGCCGGGGCATCTCTGACCTCTGATGACTGCCTTGGAAATGCTGTGTGTGTGTGTGTGTGTGTGTGTGTGTGTGTGTGTGTGTGTGCGTGCACGTGTGTGCTTGTGTGCCTGTGTGTGCTTGTGTGCCTGTGTGTGTGCATGTGTGCATTACATCAGTGCACATGTGAATGTGCGGTGAGTGTGCTTGCCCACATGTGCTGTGTGCAGTGCTGTGCCTGAGAACATGTGTGTGAGAACTCTGCATGTGTGGACTGCATGCATGCATATATGTGCATGTGTGTGAGTGACACTCATGAAGGGACAGAAGATGCTGGCGGGGCATCCAACAGTGTGGCCAGTGGGGGGAACCCTAAGTCAACCCCTGTCTTGTCTCCCTGACACAGTGACTGGCAGCACCCCCAGTTCAGTCCCATAGGGTCCCCATCTCAGCCTCCCTGTGCTATCCCAGCACCAACCACTTGCCACATTACTATCTGCCACCTGTGTCCCTGACAAGGCCATGTCCCCGTTTCCTTGCTTTCCCAAATCAGCCCAGGCAAACGAAGGCCACAGCAGACATAGGCCCAGGCCTCCCAGTACGCGGCGGGGCAGCTGGTGGCCTCTGGCTTTGGGGAGGCTATGCAGGGTCACTCAGAAGCAAGGCACAGCCCTGAGGCAAGGATACACCTTGGTCACACAAGCCCCTGTCCCTGGAGGACGTATAACTACCTCCATACACAGTGCTGCCTGCTGAGTGGTGGCCAGAGGGGCGGACAGCTTTGGAGGGAAGAGCCAGTTGATGCCTGGAAAGTTGGATAGTGGCATTTCCACAGAGCCACAGGGCTCTGAGTCAGCCACATGTGGGACGGAGCACTGTGCCCAGCCCCAACACAGCCCTCGACATGGCCCGACCCAGCGAGCTCCCAGCCTTCCTGCCCTGCAGTGCAGGAAGAGTGTGTGAAGAGTGCCACCTGGAGGGAGCAGGAGGCAGTGCAGGCACGAGGGAGGCCCTCCTTCCTCTCTCCTGCCTCCCTTGGTTGGCCAACTAACATCCCCTAGAAGCCTAGTCAGCAAAGAGAACTGTCGAATTTAACGTGGGACACTGCATCTCAACACATGCCTGAACTGAAGTGTAACCATGTCCTTGGTAATGAGTGAGAAGGGAGGAGAAGTGTAACTGCCTGGGAAAGCGGACATCTGTCTCCACCCACCACCTCCCTCAACCCTACTTTGGCATGGAGATCCTGGACCTGGCTGTGAGCAGCACCGGCCAGCACTGGCCAGCACCAGGGCCTACTGTGGGTCAGGTGCTGGACACAGGGCTCATACCCAGGCCCGAGTGGAAGTCAGGCTTCTGATCTAGGCAGGCAGCTTGGGCCACTCTGACACTGGAAGCCACGGGACCCCTGGGTGACCATGTTCTAACCAGATACATCCAGGAGCAGCCTCCAGACTGTCCTTCATTTGTCCTTTCTAGAAACCCACATGCAAAGCACAGGCGAGACAGTGCTCTGATGTCTGACACACCCAGTGGTCCGGCAGGCTGGATCCCAGTCTCTCCAAGGTAAACCACGTGCCCAGGGGCACCTGACATCCAGCAGGTACCCCTTCCTCACACCACACACACACCCTGCCAGGACCCACTCCAGACCCGGCAAACTTCTGACCAAGCACAGAAGACACGTACTTTTGCAGCCTGGAAATTCAGTTCCAACGAGCACCAGACAGCCAAGGGATGGTCAGGGTGGCATGGCAACGGGGCAGGGAGCAAAGGCCAGAGGGGCCAAGCGCCCAACACCACTGCCTCGGCTGCCGCTAGGGTCTGAGCACATGGCTGAAAGGTTCCGGACCTGAACACGCCCAACCTCCCGGTGAGCTGCTGCTGGGGACAGACCGAGCCCTTGCCTCTTTAGCCCTAACTCAAACCCATTCCAACACCTGGGCCTGTGTCTACAGCCGCTTGGCCCAAGCGTGTTCTGCCAGGACAGGTCAGCAGAATGCCCCAACAGGCCAGGCACACACACGAGACTGCGAACTCGCGGCCCCTCCGCCCTCACCCGTCGGCACACTGACCTGAACTTGCCGGTGCGCACCTGCAGCGCTCGGATTCCACATCGCTGGGCACCGCCCACGTCCCCCACGATGTCGTCGCCGATCATGACGGCCTGTCACGGCAGGTAAGCATGCTCAGGAGTGGTGGCAGCAAACCCCTGTTCCCGTGTGCCCCCCTCCCTTGCTCGGACATAATAAACTGCTTCATTTGATGCTTAAAACCACCTCTGTACAAATTAAACAAGATATTGTTGTCATCGTATTGATTAACAGTCATTCTACTCGAGTCTCTCTCTGCTGCCCACCGGGCTGCAGCTCTGAGTGGGACAGATCTGTGCGATTTGAAATCAATCAGCTGGTGTCAAAGCGCTTTGGCGCCTGAAGGACAGGTGGCAGGTGGAGGTGGCTCTGCACAAACACAGGCCAAGACGCTGAACAAGGCTGTTCTGCCAGGCCTTGGCTCTGTGAACGTCAGTCAATCCACAGGAAATCTGTAGCACAGAATATGAAAGCTTTTTTTTAAAAGATCTTATTTATTTTTTATTGGAAAGTCAGATATACAGAGAGGTGGAAATACCAAGAGGAAGATCTTCTGTCTGTTCTGATTTACTCCCCAAGTGGCCACAACGGCCAAAGCTGAGCCAATCTGAAGCCAGGAGACTCCTCCGGGTCTCCCACGTGGGTGCAGCGTCCCAAGGCACTGGGCTGTCCTTGACTGCTTTCCCAGGCCACAAGCAGGGAGCTGGATGGGAAGTGGAGCAGCCGGGACCTGACCTGGTGCCTGTATGGGATGCTCACTCCGCCACAGTACTTGCTCTGAAAGACTTTGCTTTCGATAGTGAAGGTATCATTTGTAAAAAGCAAAATAATACAGAAAGAGAGAGAGAGAGAGAAATACTCCGAGCCTGGGTATTCTTTGCAAAAGCAGCCTCGAGCGTACGCCCACCCCACCACACAGGAGACGGCCAGATGAGCTCTGTGCCATGACAGCTTTGCAGACACCGACAGAGCAATGAGGTGCAGTGCCTTCCTAGGACACAGGAGACAAGTGAGGCGAGACACCGAGACTGTCCCTGGGGTCTCCAGCTGTGGTGCAGGGAGGGAGCTATAACACAAGGGTGTCACTCCACAGCGCACAGGGGACCTCCCAGCCCCCAGGGAGTCTGCACCTGCAGCGTGGGCCTGGCTTCCGAGACAGTGACTGAGCCCGGCCCGGTCACGGAAGCTTCATAAGGAGAACACGCAGTGGTGCAGCGTGTGGAGGGAAGGGCCTGCAGGGACTGAGTGTGGGACTGGCCAGTGCCCAGATCTGACACTCAGCCCCCGCAGCGCCCCAGCCCTGACTGCCAAGTGGAGCCCCGCAGCTCCCCTCCCTGCCTGACCGCCGAGCGGAGCCCCACGGCACCCCTGCCTGACCACCGAGGAGTCCCACGGCACCCCTGCCTGACCACCGAGGAGTCCCACGGCACCCCTGCCTGACTACCGAGGAGTCCCACGGCACCCCTGCCCTGACCGCCGAGGAGCCCCGCAGCTCCCCTCCCTGCCTGACCACCGAGTGTAGCAACTTCAAAGCCCCCCGAGAGGTAAACGCACAGTGCCTGGCTCCCAACACAACAGCATCAGACACTCAAAGAGGAAGAAAGAATCAACAGAAATGCAATAATGTAGAGAAAACATCCACTCGAAACTTCCTCAGAACTGACTTGGCCGTGAGAGCAGGACCCCTGCTGATAAGGACCCCTGCTGATAAGGAATCAGGCGCCCATGTGATGGCTCAACGGGCTAATCCCTCACTTGCCAGCACAAGCATCCCCCATGGGCACGACCTCGTGTCCCAGTTCCACTTCCCATCCCACCCCTGTTTATGGCCTGGGAAAATAACAGGGCCTTGGGACGCCACACCCATGTGGGAGACCCAGAAGCTCCTGGCTCCTGGCTTTGGACCAGCTCAGCTCTAGCCATTCCAGTCATTTGGGGAGTGAGTCAGCAGATGGAAGATCTTTCTGCCCCTCCTCTCTGAAAATCTGCCTTTCCAAAAAAAAAAAAATCTTTACCAAAATAAATAAATAAATAAATAAAAAGAGAAAGAGGAACAGAACACACAAGAGAAAGATCCGAACAAAGCTTCTAGAGGTGGAAACCACCTCAGCGTTCCTGGAGAGTTACGCCAGATCAGACACCGTGAAGACACCACAAGACACGGCCCAGAGAAACACAACCACTACAAAATGAATGCCTCCTATATGGGCGCCGGTCCAGTCCTGGCTGCTCCACTTCCAATCCAGCTCCCTGCTCATGGCCTGAGAAAGGCAGTTAAGGATGGACCAGCCATGAGCCCGACACCATAGCCTAGTGGCTAAAGTCCTCGCCTTGAACACACCAGGATCCCATATGGGCGCCGGTTGTAATCCCGGCAGCTCCAGTTCCCATCCAGCTCCCTGCCTGTGGCCTGGGAAAGCAGAGGAGGACAGCCTAAAGCTTTGGGACCCTGCACCCGTGTGGGAGACCTGGAAGAGCTCCTGGTTCCTGGCTTCGGGCTGGCTCAGCTCTGGCTGCTTGGGGAGTGAACCACTGGACAGAAGATATTCCTCTCTGTCTCTCCTCCTCTCTGTATATCTGCCTTTCCAAGAAAAATAAATAAATCTTTTAAAAAAAAATGAACAGAGCATTAGTGAGGTGTCACTTCAAAGGCCTTAATAAATATACAACCGGAATCCCTGAAGATGAGAGAGGAGACAGACACCTGTTTAAAGAAATAATGGCTCAAAAACATCCAAACTCAAGAGGCACAAGCCGACAGATCAAGAACCCAAGGAAAGGGCCAGCAGTAAGGTGCAGCAGGTAAAGCTGCTTCCCGCAATGCCAACATCCCATACAGGTGCTGGCTGGAGTCCCAGCTCCTCCACTTCCCATCCGGCACGTCGCTGATGTGCCTGGGAAAGCAGAGAGGATGGCCCAAGCACTTTGGCCCTACACCCCAGTGGGGACCTGGAGGAAGCTCCTGGTTTCGGCCTGGCACAGCCTCAAGCGCTGGGACCTTTTGCAGAGCAAACCAGCACATGGCAGATTTCCTCTCTTGCTGCAGCCTGCTCATCATGAGCAGGATTGGAAAGGGAGGTGACACACAGATAAAGGGGGCAAAGCCCCTCCCATGGCTAGGAATGAGAACAAGCCTGCAAGCTCGCTGCACCCATCGCTTCCCAACTGCTTAGCGAGCCACATTACAGGAACTGATGTGGCACAGGCATCGGCAGCCCACACCCTAAAGCAGAGAAGCTGGTTCAAGTCCCGGCTGCTCTGCTTCTGATCCAGTTCCCTGCCAACACACCTGCGAGGCAGCAAAGCCTGGCTCAAGGACCCATGCAGGAGAGCTGGTCGCGACTTCAGTCACACATTCAGAGAGTGAGTCGGTGGACTTTCTGCCTCTCTGTGCCTCCTTATCTCTTCCACCATGTTACTCTGCCTTTCAAATAAACACATCTTTAAAAAGGAAACAAAAAAGAGTAAAGAAAATTACAGCAGGACTCACACTGCAACCAAACTGCTCAAAATCAGAAACCCAGAAATTCTACAAACAGCCAGGCAAATGAAGCCCAGAGCCGCCAGGGAAGCTGCCAGGCTTCTGGCCAAATGCAGGGCAAAGGCACGCACCCACGCATGTGTAAGGAAACCCACCCACCTGGAATTGTACACCCAATGCGCTCGCTTTCAAGAACCCAGGTGAAAGTCTGAGCTCCCAAAGCTGAGGCTCAAGAAATGTACAGAGTCCTCCTGGCAGATGGAAACGCACTTTCCAGCAGGGAACAGCGGGCGCAGAAAGCCCCACGCTCTGCTCCTTCAGGACTCAGCCACCCAGGCCACTCGTGCTCGCCCCCTAGTGCCACCTGGGCCTCACAGCACCTGCCTGGGCCCCTCCTGGCCTCCACTCCCCCAGAGACGCAGTGGTCCTGCGGACAGGCGCCAGGGCTCACACACGGCCCTGGACTGACAACAAGCCAATGTCCTGAGGGACTGACGACACAAGACAGGTAACAGGACATCATCAAGACTGCCCACGGGTCACCACACCAGCACAGTGGGAGTGGCTGCACAGAGGGGTGACATGCAAAGCCTTCAGACACCTCTCGTGTCTTCCACCTGTGCTAATGGGCACAGCCGACATCACTGCTGAGATGGGTCAGTGTGTGTGCGCACACACACACACACACACACACACACACCTTAAAAGAAAACAAAGCAGCCTCTCACTACCCTACAGTGAACAGATTTAAAAAGCTTCAAAGTAGATCTTAGGACTGTTAAGGATTTTCTCAGTGGGATATGGAATGACCTGCAGGACGGACGTCCTGAGGGGGATGGGGACAGGAATTCTGAAGCTGTTCCAGTCTCCTCTTGGAGCAGCGACCCCACGCTCCTGCACAACCCCAAGTCACGGGAACGAAATGCCAGCAGTCTCACCAGCCCAAAGCAGTTGTCTGCCAGGGTAACCGCAAGGACCACGAGGGACGTGGGAGACAGAGCCGTGCCACCTCGGGGGCTGGGAACACGGTCCCTCCTGACCCCAAGCTTCTCTAACCTGCAGCCCAGACTCGCCCATCACCATCTTCAAGCAGAAACAGTGGCTGCGATAAGAGAAGCCACGGGAATGAAGGCTGACAGGTGACCGATGACCGCCGAGGCCGAGAATGTCGCCAAGGAGCCACAGCCCAGTGCAAGCCACGTGGGGTCCTTGAATTGAAGCTGTGCCCGTGGACCACTCTGCATGCCACGCGGTTGCCTGGCTGCCTTTTCTCTTCCCCATATAACCCCTTGTTTCTCAAAGTGGGGCCATGCGCTGGTGTGGTCCTGCCAGATCTAACAGAGCAAGAACAGATGTTTCCGACACAAGCACACGGTGTATACTGTCTTGGTGGTGATGGTAAGGGAGAGATGCTGGCTTCCCATCATCAGGACTTTCCACAAGTTCCCTACTTACTTGGGGTGAGCATTTGGCACACTGGTCACAGAGGTTTCTTGGAATGCCCAAACCCCAGGTCTGGGGGCCTGCATGCCAGTCCTGACTCCACTTCCAGCTCCCTGCTGATGCACCCCCTTGGGCAGCGGGTCACAGCCC